GGGCCATCGAGACTCTTAGAGGATTGCGCCTTCTGTTTTTAAGCCTTTGCTGTCGCAGAAGCAGCCAGGGCAGAGTATTCCAACGCTGAGGAAGACAGTGATCAGGAAAGGCTCCCACCCACCAGGTGGAAATCCTCAGAGCTCGGGGAGCACTGTTTGTTCTGCCACCCTACCTGGTGTATCAGGGGTCCAGCAGGAAGCAGATGGCATGCTCAAATGCATAATGCCGGAGAGTTGAATACAGGGACTATTTACAAAGGTGGGGGTGAGGTGTGTGTGTGTGTGTGTGTGTGTGTGTGTGTGTATACCTCAGGGGCTGGAACAGCCCAGCACCATTAACTCCACTAGGCCTGGTGGGACCCGGGAAAGAACTGGCTGTGGCTGGCTGCCTGGCAAGAGTTGTGACCTATTGAGGGGCACAGCAAGCCCTCAGTGACCCTGCAGAAAGGGAGTAAGGGAAATGATGTTATGGGCTAAATTGTGTTCCTCCGAAGTTCCTGCGGAAGCCCGAACCTCCAGGACCTCAGAATAGAACTGTATTTGGAGATGGGCCCTTTACAGAGGTGGTTACCTTAGGATTAGGTGGGCCCTAATCCAGTCTGGCAGGTACCCTTATCAGAAGAGGGAATTTGGACACAGACACGCCAGCAGCATGTACACAGAGAAGAGAGACCGAATGAGAACACAGTGAAAGGGTGGCCATCTGCAAGCCACGGAGAGAAACCTCAGAAGAAACCAGACCTGCTGACACCTTGACTTTGGACTTCTAGACTCCAGAACTGTGAGAAATAAACTTCTGCTGTATATGCCACCCAGTCTGTGGCACTCTGTTATGGCAGCTCTAGCAAAGGAATATAGATGAATACCCCACCTTTACCATCCTCCCCTTTCCAGCCTCTGGATAGTGCCCCGCATTGGCTCTCGTGTGCCTCGGCCCCTTTCGTGGGTACGGCAGGGGATTCCCCAGCCCTGGACTCCATCTCAGCAGGAGGCACACCCAGGGCACACTTCAGAGAGGGGCAAAGGCTTGGGGAGCTGCCCTAGTGCCCCTCAGCCCTCAGTTCTGCCCCAGAGTCCTTGGGAGCTGTTACTTTCTACTCTGGCCAGTGTTGTCGCCTCAGTCTGTGAGCACCACGATGTCCTCCCTACTGGATGAGACAGTCCAGGCCCCTCACTGCCCACTCAGCTCTTCTCTCGCTGCGTGTTAGAGCCCTTGCACCAGTGCCCCAGGACTGCCTGGCAGCCCGCCTCCCTGCCTACCCCTCCCTGCCCATCCCTCCCTGGCCCAGCCCCAGCCCCACAGCCTTGGTTCTCTAGATTGGGGGGTGGGGGGTGACTTGCTCTCATTGGTTCTCCTCATGGGGACCTCAGGCTGGCCACCTGGGAGGGGGGGGGCGGGATTCTGAGAACATACCTGTCTTCCTTACACAGAGCTGATACATGCTCAGCTGCTCCCGAGCCTCCTTAACTTACAGGGATTGATCCAATGGAACCAGTGACAGAGGACCGCTTGCTTCCTGAGGCTGATGCGAGGGCTGTGTGAGAATCAGGGCTGGGCCTCCGAACACGAGACGTACAGCCTGTCTTACAAACAGAAATGACGAGAGGACACGGCCTCCGGGAGAGAACCCACTGGACACCTCTCGGGGCAACTGGACTTTATGATAACAGCTCCCCTCTACTCGGCCTCCCACGTGCCTGGTGAGGGCTCTCAGGTACCACCTCCAGGACACTCCTGACCCTTCCACAAGAGGGGTGCTGTGAGTCTCCCTGGTGTGGATGAGGAAAGCGGGCGTGGAGGGGCCACATGATGAGCACACTGCGCACAAATAGCAATGGCGCAGCCAGTATGTGACCTGAGGCAGGTTCAGTCGCTGAGCTGCTGTTCTGAGTGTTCTCCTGGCTGAAGGTAGTGGGTAAGACCCTCCCTGCCTCCCAGAGAACACGCTCTGTTTCCAGAGCAAGAAGCCCTGGAGAAATCCAGCGGAGCTCCCTGCCTGCTCCTGGCAGAGTCCTCAGGCTGGTGAGGCTGTCCCTGGAGTGACCAGATGGCTCTGACCACATCGGGGATCCACTGTGACCGGAGCTCCTGCAGCCCTGCCCTCCGTAGGAGGGGTAACTGTGGGTCACGGTAGGGACAAGCCATTTCCGGTCTCCCTGCGCCTCCCTGGGGGTTATTTGAACTTGAGCACTTGACCCCCAGGATATTAAGCAGAGGCCTACTTGGTTAAAACACATTAGTCAAATGTGGGATGCCGCAAGCTGGGAGTCCTCTGGGCAGAAATGGACTCCTCCCTGCCCACTGCCCCCAGCATCTCAGAAATGGACAAGGAACAAGCATCTCAGGGCCCCAGCTGCTGGCTTGGGAGTGGTTGGGGAGGGGAGATGTAGGCCTTTAATCTTAATAACCTCCTTCTTCTTCTTCTTCTTCTTCTTCTCCTCCTCCTCCTCCTCCTCCTCCTCCTCCTCCTCCTCCTCCTCCTCCTTCTTCTTCTTCTTCTTCTTCTTCTTCTTCTTCTTCCTCTTCTTCTTTTTCTAATCTTCCTCTTCTTGACACCAGGAAGAACAGACAGTCCTGCATTAATCAGTTCCTCCCTCAGGCAAAGAACTGAGCTGGGAGGACCAGATGGGGCAGTTCCTCATTTCTTTCTTCTTAGAAAGCCAGAGATCTCCAAGGCTCCCATTCAGTCTTCAGTCCTCGTGTCTCTATGTTCAGGAAGTACGGGCATTCCAAGGCAAAACTAGACAACAGAAGTTTAATAACACACCAATATTATCCAACACAAACTTACATGCAAACTATCTCATCATTCCAATTGATATCACATACTGAAGCAAGGCTCCCACAAAACAAGCAATCACAAGGTAGGCTGGCTCCAGCAATGGTTCATTTAGCAGCTTGATGACATCACCAAACACCCAGGTTCTTTCTACCTCTCTGCTCTGTTCTCCTCAGTGCTACTGTCAGCCTTGGGCTGGTGGCTAGATGCTTGCAGTGGTTCCAGGCACCATCTCCCGAGGTTGAAGAGTTCATCTCCTCCTATGAGAATGACATAAGAAACCTTCCCCTGAAGCACCCCGAATAAACTTCCCCTTATATCCCATTGGCCAGAATTGGGTGACATGTCCATGCCTAAGGCAATCACAGGTAAGAGGAATAGAACCACCATGATTGGCTGAACTAATCATCACCCACCTTTTGGAGCTAAAAATGGGCCTAGCCCGAGCTGAAGCACAAGGCTGCCGAGGGGACAGTGGATGCCTGAATTAAATCAGGTTCTACTGGTGAGAAAGAACCGACACTCCAGCTGAGAAGGCCAGCTCAACAGTTGGCATATAGTGGGCACCACATACTATAGTCATTTCCCTTTTCATGGTTTGCCACAGGGCACACAGAACTAAGTGGCAGAGCCAGAACTCAAATCCAAAAGAGGAGGAGAAAAGAGCTAAAGGTAAGCAGGGCTTTTCACAGTGCTCCCCCAGGACAGCCCCTAGATGAAGGCGCCTCCTTCTCTGGGGAACTGGCTATTTCGTCATCCTGAAAGTGGGGGCCACAGCAATAGCGTTCTGGGGCAGAGGGCCCCCCTCCACTCCATGGTGACCACCTCTGCCAACAACCAGCCAGCCCAGCTACCACCTCACAGCTGCATTTTCCCACCTCTCTGTACAAAATAACTCCAGAAAGTCTGACAGCTTTCCTCTGTCCGCATTTGATTTATGGCTGCAATTACAAGCTTTCCTTCACACTGTCCGTGTGCCAGCAGATATCTCTTGCAAGTCAGCAGCGCTGCCATCCAGCTCCTCGCTCCAATCCCGAGCATGAGTCTACAGAGGACCCTTCCCTCCATATCCTGAGACACTAGATGCTGCCCCCGGTGGAGCCTGATCCCCTGGTTTCTGGGGCTGGACTGCCTGAAATGTATCAGAGTTGGGCAAAAGGTTGGAAGATCTCTTTCAACAGAGACTCTGAAAGACGGGAGAAGCTACTCCCCCCACGCTACACGCACCTGGGATGGCTCAGAGCACCAGCTGCTGTCAAGGGGATCGACCTTGAGGTCTTAACACTTCGGTGTCGGGTGAATTTCCCGCCAAAATATAAGATGGCGCGTTAAAATGCCTATATCTTTTGAAGTATGGGTTCGATTGAAATGAAATATTTGGTAATACGCAGTTACAATCGGCCCGAGTTTACACGTTTCCCGCACTCCACCGCAAATCTATATGAACCGAGTTAACCATCTTCTTCAGAGGGCTCCTCTCATCTCTAAGAACAGACACAACTCTGGGTTCTGTTCGATTGGCACCCCAGCCTCACCTCTGCCCTTTCTGGCTGCCCCTTCCTATAATGACCACTCCGCAGTCCAGGTCTCTGGTTCAAATCCTGGCTTTGCGTCTTGAACAAGTTACTACCTCTCTGTGCCCCAAGTTTCTCTGAAAATGGGATAACGATTGTACCTACCCCAGAGCGCTATTCTTGGATTAACTTAGAATAGATTTTTTAAGTCCTTAGCTTTAGTATCTGGCATATAGGAAGTGTTCTCTAAATGTTGGTCTTTATTATTAACTACCATTTGTGTTTATTTTCTAATCTAGAGCAACTGTTTGTAACCACTCACTGGGCACCTAATGCCACCAGGCACAGCACAGGTTGTCCCCACGTGGTATCTCAGTGGTCCTCACAACCGGGCTAGAAGACAGCGCCCTCGTCTTGCAGATGAGCAAACCCAGGCCCAGGGAGGCAGGAACTTGCCCAGCTCTCGCAGCCAGGAAGTGAGAAAACAGAAATCGCAATCCAGACCTGGCTGAGTCATTTTTTCATTACACCAACCGCCTTGCAACTCCTTTTATCTGAGTAAAAAAATTGGGAGGTGTGTTGGGGGAATTGGAGAAATCTGAGATGTGGGAAAGGGACATCACCCAATTAGGACACACTTTCAGAGGTCACCAAGCATCCTGGCCTCCTCTAAAAAGAAGAAGTTGAGGGCTGCAGAACCCTTGTGACCTCCCATGTCTGTGGCTTTTGTTGTCTGCTACCTGATTTTCCATAGTGATCTTAGGAAACTTTGT